AGAGAGAGAGAGAGAGAGAGAGAGAGAGAGAGAGAGAGAGAGAGAGAGAGAGAGAGAGAGAGAGTGCACTTCGCCAGGCCGCGCGAACTCACCTATTTCGTTTTTGGGCCGAGCGTGAACGGAACTATCCACACTTCCCCAGGCCGCGCGAACTCACCTATTTCGTTTTTGGGCCGAGCGTGAACGGAACTATCCACCTCTGCATGCAGAACATCGATGAGAGCGAGAGACAGAGAGAGATGGAGGGAAGGACGGGGAGAGAGATGGAGGGAAGGACGGGGAGAGAGAGAGCAAGAGAGAGAGAGAGAGAGAGAGAGAGAGTAGGAGAGCGAGAGAAAGAGATGGAGGGAAGGACGGGAAGAGAGAGAGAGACACAGAGAGAGAGAGAGAGAGAGAGAGAGAGAGAGAGAGAGAGAGAGAGAGAGAGAGAGAGAGAGAGAAAGGGTGCACTTCGGCACACTGCAAACGTACCTATTTTGTTCACGGGTCGACAATGAAAGGAACTCTCCACGTCTTCATGCACATCACAAGTGCGAGAGAGGGTCGCGCTGCACTACATAGAAGGCATAGACCCACCCTCACCATTGGTCGCAGTTCTGCGGCAGCTGAGCCACCGCCCTGCTTAGGGCCGATCTCTGTCAGTCGGAGGCGGGATTAGCAGGGCCAGGTGCAGTAACCTACGCTGGAGAGGAGGTCAAATCCATTGCTGTGGCAGCCTCTTTTTCTGCATCGGGACTTCTAAGAAGGACCTGGTTCATTCGGTTGAGCTGGAGGATACCGCAGCAATTGGGATCTGGACTCTGAAATACCTCTCGGCTATTGGATTACTACTTGGCCCATCGGGCCCCCCCTTTTCCGCAGCGGTCCATTGCGACCGGACCCCGCATAGGGGAGGCCTACATTGAGCGGTATCGAACTCGCAGGGACTGCGCTGAAATTCAGCGTGAGATTCTGGCACTTCTCGCCAATATTGGGGAATTACTATTTCTAGTCTTTTTGCCCCAGATGGAAGTGTCCTTTTGTCTTTAGCCTTCTCGCTGCTCCGTTCTCCGTACCTGCACTGCATCAGCAACAACGTTTCACCGTACGGTAACTTCGAACACAATCTCAAAAAGGCAAGGTTCCTATTCGTGGCAGCTTTTTCACCTCCATAGCCTTACTGCTCAGGTAAGAAGCCATCCTTCACTCGTTTTCCTCCCGTTTCTCTGCCGCAACCTCACCACTTTAATCGCACTTTACCCCCAACCTTTTTCTCTCTGTTACACTATGGACTCACCTTTAGAACCTCTACACTCTTGGACGGAACTCTCTACCATCGTAAACTCGTACATAGACGAGGACAACGCTATGAATCTCTTTTCTCAACCATGTAAATGGCACGGTACTATGGACACGAAGCACTCGCAAGCAACACACCATCGTGTTTACCAAAACCAAGCTAGGAAAATCCGCATTGCGACGGAAGCTTCGAAAGCAAGACATGTAACTATCCCCATCTTCCAATCGCTTAAGCCTTTGTAGGGTGTCCGCAACCTTCCTTTTCTTCGCCAAGCCTATCTCCGAAGTTTGCGACTCTTCCACATTACCAACTACGACTGACCTCATTCCGCGAGATTCTGCAAGCCTTTTCTCGCTATGGCTCCCTTTTCCCAAAATCCCCCTCACATCGTCCTTGACCCCCTCGTTGTTGAACCTTCGGCCGACATTTATCTTGTCGTCTTGATCCCTTGGATTCCGACCATCCATGTTGTATGTTTGACCACGCTGATTTCTTTGGCCCCTACTGTTGTTTGTGACATCCATAACGTATCAGACCTGCACGCCATACAACCAAGAAGAAGGAGAAACTTACTTTAAACTCTACCCCTCATAGTTTTCCTATTGCTATTAGCTCTGAAAACATTCTCGTCTTCAAATCAGCTTTATCTTTTTCTCGCCGGGGGTGTCCTCTCGCTTCCTCGTGCACCTTAAGGTCTCTCCCTACCCTGTACGTTTTGTCTCCCTCTATCTGTCTTACTGCTTTAATGGTCTCTCCTACGCACAAATGGTTAAATAAAACCTCTCATTCCTCCATCTTTAGGTTCCCGTGTTTTGCCCAGCTCCAGTTTCCTGCCGATTGATACCTTCTTTTAACCTCGTTGGGGTCCTCCATCATGCCTTGGCCCCTAAAATTTACGTACCCCTTCTGGTCCTTCGGAGTTCGCCGAAATGTCGTTTTGGTGGTTCATACTACAAATGTACCCGCGAGACGCTCCCCACTTTTCAGCCTATGCGTCCCTACCACCTCTTTCCCGCCTTGCAACGACATGTTTGACCGTCTGGCTCTAACAAACCTTTCCCATTTCCGTCGGTGCGCCCCTATATGTAATGGCGGATACTTTATTCGCCATACTGGCTCGCTTCCTAGCCCTAGTCTTGCTCTCGTCTCTGTGGTCATTCCGGTTCAGTAGGTTCCTCGAATAGTTGACCTACTCCTGCCAGATAGCTCTCCCCCATCTCAATTTCTCTCCAAATTATGTGTTCGTATTCTGCATAGGCTAACCGTGGCAACCCGAATATCAGGATATTAATAACCTTCAGCAACTATTGGGCCTGGTTCCCCCAGAACAGTTCGTGCTCTACGGAGATGTCATAAAACATCCCGATGGCTTAAGGTGGGAACTGATTTGTCCAGACTATTACTGAGTCTGGCAGGTCCTGTGCCCTAGGGAGGCTCCCAATGATGAGGTCTATCATGAACCGGGGGACCTGACATCTTAGCGGGGTTGTTGGTGTCCTAAACTCTCGCCAGCTCCCTACTTCCACTCTGGTCTGTTAGCCCACGTTCCTCCTGCCTCTGTTTGATTGACCTATCTGTGTCAACACCCGGGCGGTCCTCCGGAAAACCGGGGCTAGCTCGTGACCTTGGTCTATTCCTACCCCCAGCGAGTGCCATCCAATTTCAGGCAGGTACAAGGTCCCGGTTACTTCTAAATTGGAGTGTAGGTCATCCATCCCCAGGTCCTCTGTTAAACCGCATCCCGATCCATAAACATTCCACCATTACGAATGCACTGTGGTCCTCTATTCCCCGTCGATTCCTCGGAATTCGAAACTTGACGGAAGGGACACTTCCCATCCTCTGCCGTTATTCCAGGGAGGGCCGGGGTACCGGGGTTGGCGTGTTGTCCGAACGCGTTTTGCCGCCATCGTCGCTTGATGATTTTCTTGCATAGCCCAAACAAAGAGGGTTACAGCCCATCTTTAACAATTGTCCATCTACTGTCCCCTTTTCCCTTCTATGTCCTCATTCTTCTTCTCTGGTTCCTACTACTTTTTCCTTTCTTAGTTCGCCTTTTAGGTGACAGTATCTTCCTCTGGCAACTTGTACAACCGGTACAAATCGTCTAGGTAAGTCGGGCCTCGACCTACTTCCCGCCGGATGACGCCCCACAAGATGTGGTCATTGATTAGTGGGATCCTTAGCTTTATCGTCAAAATTGCGTGTAGTATGTGTAGTACTTCATACTTCTCCTCTTTGTCAAACGGCCTCATCTCTAAAAATATTCGGTAGTATTCCTTGTAAGTCATTGCCTCTTCGAAGGCAAGGTCGGCAAGGGCCGCTGCCGCCTGCCTGACGCGCGCCTCGCCACCCATCCTTTGCATTATAAAGGGTGACAACCTCATTAGTACGTTTGCACTAGGTAGAGTAAAGATCTTCGTCATGGCAACCCTTAGGTCTGCCGTTACTTTATCATGCTCAGGGTTGGCGGACTCCAACCCTGTCCGCCATACCAGCTGCCATGCGTCCCCGAACATGCTCAGCGAGTCTTCCCTTTATGCTAACCTGACACCGAAGGTGCGCCACCCATCCTTCGATAGGTACAGTCGTCCCTTCGCGCACACGTGCCCTTGCGGATCCGGATTCCAACCGCCCTACACCCCTTCCGCATGCCATTCAACTTCGTTTACCAGGTACACCATATTTTTCGAAGGTTTGATACCAACCCAGTCCACTATAGGATCCCGGACTTCATTCCGGGTGGGTATGCTGATTTCTATGCCGCCATCCCGTTCTCTTGGCGGCTCGACCCCTAGTGGCCGGTCTTCAAGGAACGTCCTTCTTCGAGCTATTTCGTACTTCCCTTCTTGTCTTGCTTCCTTTCCTGCGATCAACAACTGCGCCCACAGTAGCCAGATGCCTTTACCCGTTTTAATCCTCCTGCGCTCTGCTAACATGCTGTACCTTCTTCCTACCATACTTTACTCCCCAATTTACATGCACCCTCGACACTTTGATTTCCTCACGGCTTCCGACCTTCCGCTCTTTTACTCAAACCACATTACTTCAAACAGTTTGAAAACATCATCCATGTAGAACGCAGTGGTCGTCACCTCCCGACTAATTATGGCGTCCCAGGCTGCCGCGTCTACCTCTAGGCGATCATACTTACCTATTCTCAAGATGATGAGAACCTCCCAGACTCTATCGCGGTCAAAGGGCCCGTATTTCAACGAGGTCCTATGAAATTTTTCAGTCAACTAGACACACTCTATATGTATCCATTCCATAGAGTCGGTGTCGGACCAAATACCCTTACAAGGGTATTTGGCCATGCTTTTCCATTCAACACAGTGACGACGTCGGTTACCATGATGGAGCCAGTCTGGAATGGAAATGGTGTGCACGCTTTAGCGTGACACTCGAAACGAATTTCCTCGGCCAATGAAGCCGGGGGCAAATCGGTGAGAAAATTTCGATAATATGCGTGCGCATGGTTATGACGTGCAAAGTGATGGTTAGAATTAGTAATGATACCCTCCAACCGAAAAGGTCGAGGGGTTGATCAGGTTAGTATTGTGTCGGGTAGATCTACGACACACACACTGAAACTTAATCGTTGGTACATTAGTCAGGATAAATTAATATACGCTCCAACCGTACGGTCGGGGCAATTGAAAATGTATGATTATCAGGTTGCAGTAGTGCTCGGATTGTCGCGCTTGCCCAAGTGGTACCTCTAACCTTACTCGTATACTGCAAGTAAGGTTGAGGCTCTCGCTCGGCCTCCCAAGGGGGCGTTTGCCTCTTGGACGATGACTTCCTGATCGCGAAGGCATCCAAGCAACCGATATTTTCTCCCTTTTGGAGAGGAACTTCATCACAGGCTCTGATATCGTCCGCATAAGCCCTAGACTCATACTACCTGAAGTGGTATCCACCTACCTACCGCTATTGGGCCTCTAAAAATGCCAACTTTCGTATTCTTCTACTCGGCCTCGAGTACGCGGCACGTCTGCCTTTWCYWRGKKKKGKWMCSGSC